AAGTAGGAAGGATATAATATAACCGATTGTTTTTAAACTACTAGAATTGGCATTGGTATTACTATTGCTACAATCGGCGTTGAAAGAGCATTTTCTGCCATGAATATTATAAAAAATCGACTGCGAAATAGGATTGGCGATCAATGGATGAATGATTTACTACTTGCTTATGTTGAAAAAGAAATTTTAAATTCTATTGATAATGAAGTTATCATTCAACACTTTCAGAATATGAAGAGTAGACGTTATAAATTGTAAGTTGCTTACTATCTTGTATTTAATATTATATGTTTTGGGATAATTATTAATAAAAAATTTTTAAAATTGCCTATGCCGGTCCCAAGCCCGGATGAAAAAAGTTGAGGGAAATTTTTACTAAGTTAATTTAGGCCCCCCCTTGATAAATTTCCTGACTCCGCCACTACCTGTATATGAGAGTGGACATGCGGGTTTTTTCTTCAAAAAATGTTTGTGGTATAATCTTAAGTGGTGTGAACGTGGAGGCATAATGAGACTGACTTATATGATATGATACACCGACGGGCATGAAGTGATGAGTTCTTATATGGAAGTCACTTGGCTTGTGATATGTGATATGAGACTGATTCCTAACAACATAGCGATATGATATAGATTGATTCATGTAGGGTTGCCCTATAGGACTAGATATAAGAAAAATATCATATGTAGTTGGATATCCAATCTTGCTTATATTACTTATACATGTATATGACATTAGCATACATGATGCATTTCATAAGTGACAGATATATACAACATATATATGATACAAAACATGACTTAAACAGCACATGATATAACTAATATAATCGATACAAGACATGTGATTATAATAAACTATATGATATATATGATACACATTGCATATGATATTTATATTATACGACATGCACACCTATATGATGTTACAGATAAGACTAATATGATTGATAAGACTGATACTTAAAACATTGCATTTAATAAGAGTATGATATACATTTATAGACTCCACACAACATGCATAGAAAGACTTATATGAACTATTATATAATTGAGGGGTACATAAATGATAGAATGCATTGATCCTTTACATGACTACAGATCACTGCTAAAAAATTACACTTTGCAGTAATGTTTATTGTTGATATGACATGATTTAGTGCATATTGAAACTTACTTGTACTTACAGTTTTATATTTACACCATTTTGAATTGACTAACTACATACATATTATTTCTATTACATTTTATTGGTTTCAGTTATAAGTTCTGATAATCTACTGTGTTGTTTGCTCATTTTGTGATATTTACATAATCTCAAGAAAAAGCAAGGACCCAATGGAATGAAATTGATCAACATTTGCTGGTTTTATTTTTATTTTATTTATATTTTTTAATTTTTTTCATTCATAGTTAAGAGTTTAAAAAGATATAATGATGTATTTTTATCTCCCGGCTATTTTATATAAATTTTGATGATTGAATATGAAAATATTTTGAAGTATATGATTTATAGTTGTTTTCGATGATTCCTATTTATATAAATAAAATTAGTGACTTTGATAGATTAATTAAGAATTTTAAATAAATAATTATTCTAAATTTTGATTTTGAGGCGGGACAACCTGACTCATCATAATCTCAAAATAATCTCTATTATCATTGAATATGGAGACCTCCATGATATTAATGACAACATTTTAACACCACCTCTACATTTCTCTTGTTGAAGCATGTGCTGCGATAGCCCAAGGGACTTGTAATTATAATATAATGATTGACATCAACTAATACTACCACAACATATTATCAAACTTGGGTTTGTCCTAACTTATGGATTTTAATGTTAGAAAATAGAGGACAACTAACATGCCACCACACAATTCATCAAATCAAGCACAAATATTGACATAATATTGTTATCTCAAAACATCTAAATATTTAAATAAGAAACTTTCAGAATCAACTTTGAGATCAGTGAAATTATCCTTCAACAAACTTAAAGTCGAAATAAGCATTTTGATAGTTTGAATCTACGATATAAAAAAATTAAATCAAATACTGAAAAGTATAATTAGAAATTTCTATATATCATTTGATGGGCCAAATGACCTCTAATTTTGTGTGTGCATATAGTCAAAATGAGGAACTAAATAAGATACATTTGAAGAGCCTTAGATCACTCAATTTCAAATTATTAAGATAGTAATATGTCTAAAAAATATTAAATAATTAAATGGATTTGACACAGATGTTAGATAGAATATCATAATTATGGTAAGAATACACTTTATATCAAGCCATAAATAAACCATATTTCTACAAATTTATGGAGATTATAATAGAGATAATTCTAAAACTTAAAGAGTTCCAAAGCCCCAACTGTCACACATAATTCCTATCGTTGATACCTACTGCCAGTCATCACCAAAGCTCACTAATGTCAAAAAACACTGACATCCATCCTTGTCTTATAATATAACTTTCTCTCGTATCATAGAAGGGTAGATGTTGTAGCTTTCAACTTACATCATATAATTATTTCAACTAGGTCAAACCTTATAATATTTTTCCCTTTAAAGATTTTTGTGAATCCATACATTTTTTATTTGTATATGCCCGTCATTTTTTGTAATATTAAGACGATATACTCCCCAATCATTGTTGTGAACATTCTATTACACAACACATCCAAATGTGTTTCCGATAAAGTTCCTAAAAAGTTAATGCCAAAATCCTAAGATATATTGTATGTGGCAAAAGTAAATATGATAGTGAAGCAACTTCATCATGAATATCAACAATATATTCGCTTGAGCTTATAAACATTCAAATAAAAAATAGAACTCTAACCATTAATTTATTTAAAGCTTCAATAATTTGTTGGAAGTTTTAGAACTTCACCTAATTGCATCATCTCTTAGTTTAGTTTGTTTTAAAAGATCCAATCACATTAATTTTTCAATTTTATAAATATTAGTTACTAGAAAATTACAATAATAACAAGTCTTTATCTCACTATATGGGGTCGGCTGCAAAATTTTTTTTTCTCCATTTTGTTATATTAATAGTCACACAAACAAAACACCTTATGATAATTAAGATAATTTGGAGATGAATATATATTGCTTGCTCAAAAATGTTAGTCATCCAAAAAGGAATCCTTGAGGATTATATTTGCTTCTTATTATCCATTTTCTTTGATTAATTTCTCTTTCTTTCTTTCTTTTGGTCTCCTTAAATGTGCAAAACTTAGGCTTCGTTTGGGATATCTTTTGACAATTATTATTTTTTTTGCGCTGCTTTCATGAAATTTTTGTGCTAAAAAATTGTTTTTGAAGGCAATATGAAAGCCATCCCAAACGAAGCCTTAATTTCTTTTTGGTAATTTCCAATTTATGAATTTTTAACATTATTCTTTACCATTTTTAATTTCTTAATTAAAATTCTCTTAAAATAAAATAACTATTATTATATTATGTGATTCATATGATATTTTTAGTGTTTTTTCTTTTAAAAATTAATTTCTTATTTGCAAACTTTATATTTGTGTTTTTTTAATATTTATGATATTAAAGTATTATTAAACCAATTTATTTTAAATAAGCAAGTTATGCCATAATTATAAAACTAAAAAGAAAAAAAATATTGAAAAAATTTAGTTACATGCATGGACATTTTTTTTTTCTTTTTAATATTCATTCTCAAAGCTTTCAATGTCACTAATGTCTTCAAGATGAAGAAGGAAATATCAAATTTGGGGAACCATTCTTAAATAACTCAAACAACAACTTAATCACATAATCAATAAGCAAATTAAAAAAAGTAAATTAATACTTCTATAATACACATTAATATTTTATAACTTCATAAAAAAAATGATAATTAAGGAATGAGCTTTCAACTCCCAACTCAAAGTTAGTCGTTGATTTTATCTTTCATTGATGGTGATTCTTATGAAAATTAATTATTATTATTTGGTTATTTGACTACCAAAAGTGAATTTTAATTTTTATTTTAACTTTTTTTTTTGGGGTTATCATTTATTTTTAATCTATCCCAATGCCATCTTTTATTCTCTTAGGGGCTGTTTGGATATGTAATTTATGCAGGATTTATGTTAAATCCTGCTAAATAGGATTTGAGATGTTGCTCAAAGTCATAATGAAATAAATCTATCGTTTCGTTCCTTTTACGATAAATCTCAGATTTACTAAATCCTATAGTTTGGTAGATATAACAACTTACCACGTGTGAGAGGAAAGAAAGGAATTGTTTACATCCTGTCTTCAAGTGCGTCAAGTTGTTTCCTTACAACATTCTCTTACAACGTTATTTCTATCTTCTCCATCCCACCTGTCGAGACCTCCATCCCTTTGGTTGTCCATTCCTTGCAATTTTAAGGACCCATTAGTTCGCCTCTAGGAACCACCTCATCATTGTTGATTAGATTCCTCTGTTAGACCTCCAACTTAGTCCTTGTAGTTCGGCACATGTAAGCACGTTTACAATCTAATTCTCAGAAATATATACAAAATTTTATTCAACATGATAGCCACTAAAATTTCCCATACAATCCATATTTCAAATAAACGCATTAATTTAATAGTTCCACATAATTTAATATTTAACTTGTCAAATAAATTTCAGGATTTAATTTTAGCAAAAATTAATAAATTCAGATTTATCGGATTTATTTAATCCTACTTATTGCCACAAATAATGCATTATCATTAATCACTATATATTAATTCATGTAATTTATTATATTCTTTTTTATTTTGTAAAATAATAAACATAGGAGGCGCTTCAAATATAAATTATTATTGATACATAGAGAATATTCTTTTAAAAAATAATTTGAGTTTGATAGTTTTAAAAATTATGTTAATGTTATCAATATTAAATAGATACATTTTGGGTGTTAATTTCGAAAAACTTTGCTTTTCCTTAAAAAAAGACGTCGTAACTGCCGCTCCCGTTAACTAACGCCGCCGTGCAACGGACGCTTCCAGAGCCCCAAAGCCGGATCGGGAGGCGGAGGCCGCAGGGTATTAAATCCAAACAAAGAAGAAGAAGAAGACGAAGAGGGAAGAAATGAGATCTAACATCGTCACCGAGGTAAAAAATGTCGTCAAATTCTCTGTAGGTCTCCCCGTCTTTTCTCAGATTCACTAGTTCATCGCCTCTATCCACTTAGGTTTTGCAATATTTCATCTCCAATTTATTCTATTCATGGCTAGGGTTCTTCTAGGCTGTGATCATGTTAAAGAGAGTTCTAGTATAAGTTTTAGGATGATATAATGATTTCAACATTCCTCCACTAGACTTGGGGAGCTTCTGAACAGCTGGGCCGTTGACTAGGTAACTAAGGATTCATTTTGTTCGTTTATTCTGAGGATGGAACAGGAAATGTTTCTCGGGCATTGTTTCCTTTTTCGCGCTGCATTGTTTTCAGTGAACTCATGCCTGAGACCCACTGGTGTCTATTGGGGTTCATAATGCAATCCAATGAGTGTTTTTTGGGAATGTCTCTCGTGGTAGCTTAGCGCTTGATGCTACTGAAGCAGAATTTGAATCCAATTGGTGTTTCCTATGGGCATTCAGCATGTAATCTTCTTAAGAAGGGATTACATGGGTCGAAGTGGTTTGATTTAGTGTTGTAGAGGATTCATGCAGCTAATGTGTTAAATTATACTTTTGAAATTATTTTATTAATGAAATTTGGTTCGTTCTCATCGATAAATTTTCATTAATAGATGTAAAACGTATAGTTTTTGCTGTTGTATGGATCATAAAATTTTACTATAAGAAGTCTTTGGTATCAATGTTGAGTGCGGTAGATATGAGAATGTTAATATTGGTATGTCTTAAAACCAAGAAGAATAGATTAATCAATTATGATATTAGAAAAATTGTTAGAGTGGCATCCATTGAAGATAAGATAATTGATAATCAAGATGACCTAGCTATCCTAGAGAGAGCATGCAATGCATGCCAATCAAACTTTGATATTTTATTTATTTGAAAATACGATGTTCAATTGTCAATTCCTACATAAGATTGTGTGCTATTCTATTTCTCTTATTATTTATATTTTTCCAACAGTTCTTAATTTGCCTTATATATATTTTGATTTTCTCATTCTCTTGAGCTGTTAACAGGCAGGACTTCCAACTAGGTTGAACCAATGGTGGGCTGGTATTCCATTTATTACTTCTTGTGTGACAGTTGTTTGTGGGATAATTTACTTGGTATGTTTACTGGCTGGGTATGACTCATTTGCTGAGATATGTTTCTTACCGTCTGAAGTGGTCTCAAGGTTTCAAGGTAAGAGCTTTTGCAGGATTTATGTTCCTATAACCAGTAGGTGTCGGTTTTCACTAAATTTATTTATGATTATTTAAAATTTGTTGGTTTTAGTTCATTTATAAATATCCTTTTTAAATTAATTGATAATTTAATGCATCTAATTATTCTCAATTCCCAAATCATTTTGAATGAGTACCTACCATAATCTTCATTCAAATAGATATTAAATTGGACATAGCTCAAGGGAATGGAGAAGGAACATATTAAATGAAAAGGAGATTTCATTAAGACCCATTTGGTGTCTTGAAATTAGAAAGCATATTATTAGAAAATAGTAAGATGTGCTAATTCAATTATTTTGTTGGCTATAGTTTGAATTAATATTGACTTTAAGCTTCACAAACCCCTGTAAAAATCCCTCAAATGCATTGGTTTTTATTTCACATCAAATTTGTGTAAAATGAAATATTCTTTTTTCAAACTATGTTTCATATATACAAGCAACCAAATGTGTCCTAAATGAAAGAGGAATTGCATGATGATAGTGGAAACTCACAATTCTAAAACTATGTGAATTCTTCCACAGAAAGTGATAGGGACTCGCTCACCTTGTACCTTTGTGGAATTACTTACATAAACGAGAGGGCATTCCTTCAATTAGTTGAAACTAACAAGGATTTAGCAACCTAAAATTCCTCATTACATAAGCCATTTGGATCCCCAAACATGAAGTTTTGGGGGGTTGTGGTTATTTGGAAGTACATCAATGTTACTTCACAAGGGCAAGATGTTTTTGGGGTTGTGGTTATTTGGAAGTGCTTCAATGTTGCTTCATGGGGATAGATGATGGTTAGGAAACACATTTTCAATGGCTATTTCAGTAAGGATTGACATAATATTTTATGTGAAGTAAAATTTTTGAATTTATCTTGGAGAAAAATTAATGTTAATATCTATAATATAATGTTCAATAAACGGGTCAAAAATACCAACACGATGGTGCTAACCTATTTTGGTTAAAAAATTAATTTTATAACTTAAATTTTTTTCTTATAACTTATTAATTATAAAGTTTAGAATACTTGATAAAAATAAGAAGATTATACCTACAAATAAAAGAAATTAAGGAAAAAATATATTAAATTGGTCAAAAACGGATTTGTGGGTCAACCCAAACCTGACCCATTTTATAAACGGGTCGGAAGACCTAACCGGAACCAAACACATTAAACGGGTCAACCTAAATCCGGATTTTTTGGATTGGATTCGTGGGTCAATTCATTTATTATGACCCTTGTAGAAGTTTTAATAACTGGTTTTTAAAAATTCTCAAGTTTGCATTGGGATGAAATCCCTAGGTGATGTAGGAAGCTTAGGGCCTAAGTTTCTAATGTAGATTTACAATAATATGCACAAAATCATACAAGCGCACTTAATTTGTAGATCATAAATTGTTAATATGGACATCCGGCGTTTGAGAAGGAAACCACAAGATAGAAAATTTTTTACATTAATATTAATTTAATAGCATTTAAAGAGAAATAATATAGAGAAGTTTGGAATCCACAAATAATCTTAAAATTAATGTAAATCATGCACTTTTGGAAAACCAATTTCTATCAAACTTGAATAAAATAAATCACTCATTCAAACCAATGATGAGATATAAAAAATAAATAGTTAGAGGAATATAAATCACTTAATCAAGCCTATCGCTTGTATAAGGAGAAAACCTGTTATGAAAAATCTTCAGTCTCTCACTTTTTTAAGAAGTAGATCGGAAGAAATTGCACATTCAACTCAGAAATTTATTTTGAAATACTATTCCTTTTATATTCATTGGACCATTTTTTAAATCCTTAGATTTGCAATAATTGAAAAATTAGAAAAATGTTAGTTGACATTTGAAATTCTTAAATTTTAGAATAACTCAACTTGCGTTGCTTGAATAGCATACCAAAGATAAGTCGCTACCTCCATAAACTAGATTGCTACAGTCGCATATCATTATAAGGTCAGATTGAATTCTTTCTAGGCTCAATTAAATATAAGATAACAAACTTCCCCGAGGACACCCTCAACCATACTTCCAACTCTAGTTTCTGCCACAACAACCTCACAATAACTATATCGTAAAATCAATAATAATTTAACTCCATGATGCCTAGCCCAAGTAGACAACCACAATGCTTATCTTAGACAATTCAACTCCTATCTTTTTTTTTGTTTATATTATTCAAAAGGATCTAAACGATAAATTCCTATAAGTTTATCTCTTTGTCATACAATATATATTTAGTTTCCACCTGAGTAGTGGACATGATTTCATGTCCAATAATAACTTTAGTAATATGATTAATATGAAAGTATGTGGTTTGTGTCGGATGTGATCCTGAAAGAAGAGGTAGAAAGAGTGAGAATACAAGGCATTGGCCTTAGCAGTTAAAATTTTAATTTAATATAAAGTCAAATAAGATACATTAAAAAATTGAACTAATATTGAATTTTTTTAAGATTTCTAAATTGCGAGCATTTATCCCTATTTGTCGTATGACTTTGTATGATCACACTTTTCTAGCAGTTAAATTTTTAAGGGTTCCTATAGGAAGGTTTTCATGATTGTGAGTAATTATCTTATCATCTTATCATCCGATTGAATTTTATCTCTCTCAAATGCACATCTGTAATTAATCATAATCACCATAGTCAACAATGAGTTTTCTATATCATACAAATGACTAATTCATGATTTAATAATTTATGATGCATTTAATAAAAATACTAAAATTAAAATACTAACGTGCTTCCTAATGAACATTCAATAACTAATTCCAAGAGTAGTCAATGATGAAGAAAGCTTAAAATTGATGTTTTTAAAAGTTCCATAAAGTTTCCTCCTAATATTTGATAAGCTACATGTGTTTATCATATAGACGAACAACCTCTATAAAGAAAAGTAATCCTAATGGGTTAAAATTAATTGAGATGAATTATGAACTTTTAGTTTCAACTAGATTGATGGAGATTTGAATTTTTTATTTTGTTGAAGGTTCGTGATTAAATTATTTGATATGTCGACGTTATGGATTTGGAGTTACTAATGAAGTTGTTAGGACTATATTAAATTTTATTTTAATTTATGATTTTATAATTTCTAAAATCTTTTTAGGAAAAGAGGGGAGCGTCTCATTACTTATAAGAATGGACATAGTAAACTTGTATTAATTATTTTCTTATAAAAAAAAAATATTTTTTAGATTATAAAGATGGTGAAGTAATTATGAGTGAAAGTTTATATATATTAGTTTTGAACTTTAAGATGAAGTGATGAAATAAGAAAAATAAATTAAAATATTAACCTATGATTAGATGAGGACATTTAAAGAATGCTAATAAAAATATTTTTAAAAAGATTCAAAATCTCAAGATTTGTGTTGTTCATGAAAAAATTATTGTTATGTGGAAAAAAGTAGCTAGTGATATTAAAAATGTTGTAAAATATGTGCTTGGAGTATAAAAAAGAAAAATTCATATTAGCAATAGTTTGTGGTGGAATCAAAATGTATTAAGAAAAGATAAAAAATAAGAAGCAATGCTATAAAAATTAATTTAGATGTAAAAACTTAGAAAATTGAGAAATATATAGTGGATCCCGTAGGGACTCTAAGAAAATAATATGCAATATAAAGAATTTAATTTCTAGTGATTTATATAATAGATTATATACTAAGGAGGGCAAAAGATGTATGTATAGGCTAGCTAAGTAAAGAGATTTGAGAAGGATCTAGTTCAAGTGAAGTGCATTAATAAAGATTAAAACAATGTTTTTTTAATAAGAGGATAATTAACATAGTTGGATGAAATGTTTCAATAACTTTTTCAATGAAGATTGTGCAAATACAATTAATTTTAGTGACCTTAATACCTTAAATGAAAATAAAAAATTTGTTTCTATCATTGTATTAGTAAAATCAAAGTTAGAGGGGGTTTAAAGAAAATATAGTTTGGAAAAGCAGTGGAACCTAATGATATTCCAATAGATGTGCGGAAATGCTTAAGAGATTAAGGAATTTCTTGGCTTATTAAACAATTAAATATTATTTTTAATACTATTTTGAAGACTAAATAAATGTCAGATGAATGGAGGATTGTATTGGTTCATATTTTTAAGAATAAACGTGATGTACAAAATCGTGTGAATTATGGAGGAATTAAATTAACGAGTCATGCATTGAAGCTTTAGGAGAATAATGGAGCATAGGTCACGTCATGATACTAATGCTTCTCAAAATCGTTTGAATAGATCTAAAGCCGAATACATCTGTAATAATAAATCTAGTGGGGGGATTGTGATGTTATGCGATCAAGTTATTAAGAAGAGTACATGTGATGTGGACATCAGTACGAAGATTTGAAGCGTTTAACACAGGAGGCATCGTAAATCAATGACTATAATTTAAATCTTAAATTATGAGTTATTTTCTGAATTTTAACTCTTATTTTATGTTATTTCCTGTTTTACCCCCTAGGTTGGTTTATGTGAGTGTTGTTGCTAAAGGGCCAACTTTGTCTTTTGAGTTTTCTTATATTGTGTCCTATATATAGGGCCTTAAGCTATTGTAATAGATGATGAAGATGAATATATAAGAAGTTCAGTTTTAGTTTCCTTCCTTAGTAAGTGTAGTGGTGGAGAAAGTCCCTTGGAGTAGGGCCAACGAATTACCAAACAACAGTCGCTGTGGCAAGGTTTTTGGTCTGTATATTTTTTATTTCTTTTATCTTCTCCTCCTTTATCTCTCCAAACAGCACCCCCACCCTCACCCACCCATCCGGCCGAACTCCAACAACCACCCCCACCCTTTTGTTCTCTCCAACAAGCCAAACAGCTTCAGTTTTTGCTGTTCCAGCCACTGTTTGATCCCTAGCAGCACCCGACAGCCCTTTTTCACTTCTCCCACCACCCCACCGTCCATCCTTCCAACCCCACTAGCAATCCCAAGTTCTGTCCTACTCCAACA